CCCATGGTCAAAGTCAAATGACTAACCGACAATAATCTCTTACATCCATCATTTTCACCCGGCTGAAATGTAGGCGTTCAATCTCTCTTTTATACACCATTGCTTCCTTTTCACAGTCGTTCCCTCAGCCACAGAATCTCTCCTGCAGGGCACGTTCGGAGCACATGCGAAAATTGAGAATTGCTTTTTCATTAAATGAAACCTGTGTAAACATGGAAGCAGAACAAAAGGAATATTGGAGGTTATACAATATTTCAGATGTATCTAAGGATGCTTGTGCATGCAGCGCAGGGATCCTCAGATACACTTCAGGGGCTTTTTTTTTTTTTTTGGAACATCGTATTTTTATACCACCTCTCTGCGCAGTCTGTGCGATGCCTGCAGTAATTCAGTTCAAGCAGATCCTCTCTGTCTGCTGGACCAAATAATCCGTCCATAATACTCTACATGGTCACACTGAGAACTCAAAGTATTCAGCCCCCTTCACTTTTTGCAAACTTTATTGTGTTGTATGGAAAAATGGAAATGGAGAACTTTTGGGGCTCAATGAAAATGTATCATATAACGTGTCTCCTTGATAAAGAAATATGAGGAGACATTTACAAGCAACATTATTTCATTTATTTGAATACAAAAAGTACATTAGGGTTTTAATCATTTCTGCTTCAAACTGCATTCATTTAATAATTATATAATTATTTAAACTTTAAACTGCTACAACAGTAGGAACAGCTCTATAATTAAGTCGTTTTTCTTGGTTCTAAATGCCAAAAAAAGTCGACCGAGTCCGTCTAGAGACAAAGAACAGTGTCTCCCTCAGGGTGAGGTTCGACTACTAGTGGTGGTGGGTGACTGATGTGCATTCACAGACTCATGCAGAGGAGGAGAGTGTAAGGCAGGTTATAATCAGGAGCTGCAATCTACGGATGTCCCCTAAACACCTCAAATATCAGTAGATGCTACAATTGACCAATATTCCATGAACGCATCGCATGCATTGGTAGACACAAGCACAGAGAAGCCTCTAGCCCCCGCTCTGATAAAAAATCTGCTTTAAAACAGTGAAATAAGGTTCTAATGTGAGATTGTAAATTGAAACTGTGATTTTATCTACCTGGACAAATCTTAATCTACCTGGGCGGGTCTTAATCTACCTGGAGGACCAGTCTTCCGCCCTGCGTTGAGCCTAGTCAACAGTGGCTCAGTGACAGTGACAGTGACAGTGTTATTGTGTTATCAACTTCTTATTTAATAAATAAAAAAAGAAAAAGAAAATAGAGGCTGCTTGAGCTGAATTTTGTAAAACATTTAATTGACAGACGAGCGCCTAAAAACATTTTACAGTTCACATCTATTTTTAGTCGCAAATACAGTGACACAGTCGCCCTGTGGAGCCCTGAAGAGAGAGACTTTTCTGGAGCAGGACAGAAACTGTTACATTTGTTGACAGTAATAAAGACAGTCCCTGTCTTCTGTAGCGTGTGTGTGTGTGTGTGTGTGTGGCTTGTACATGTGCGAGCGGAGTTTACATTTTTGAGCCAGCCTTACACAGCTGCAGCTCCCCTCCGAGACACACAAACACCCACACAGAAATAAAGATGCAAACGTGCTGAACTTCCTCCTGCAAAACAAACCCGTGCTTTCCTGTACACCTCCCAGAGGAAGGTGGGAGTATACTTATGTGTGTGTGTGTAGTTACACGTTTGAGACTTGTCTCAGAAATATAAGTAAAGTAGAAGTGAATAGAGATATAACACAAGTGGGCGGATGGAATACTGTATGGGCTTCCTGATCAGCAGCTAGGAGGCCACGGCTCAGGTGGTAGAGTGGGTTGGCGGTTCGATCCCCGGCTCCCTTAAACACAGTCTCGTTATCCGACATAAACCCTGCGCCACATTGAAACAGCTGAGCGTGATCTGCTGTAGCAACCCCTCATGGGAGCAGGTGAGCAGCAGGAGCTAAAAAAAAAAAAAAAAAACCCCTTCAAATTAAAAATATAACCAAAATCTGATGAAATAATCTGAACTCAACGCCCATTTAATAGATTTTCCCAGAGCTTTCAACCACATCAAGCAACCACTTTAAGGTTCCCTGTGGAGGTTTTGATCTCCAGCAGCTAAGAAGCTGTATTTTTATCTCGTGTTTGGATCGCATCAGTGCCAGAGAGAACCAGCGGCCAGTTGCACAAAACACCTCAAGTTAAGATTTTCCTTGAAGTCTGAGTCAAGGTTTCCTTAAAATAAAAAAAGTTTGCATAAAACGCACCCTTAAGTCTTCTCCTTAAGGTTTCCTCAAAATGTTCTAGTATCTAAAGTCTTATACTTAAGGAATCACTTGAAGTCAGTTAAATCGCTGCACAAAAGACATTAGTGACCAAAGTAAGGAAGTACTGACTCCATCTTAACTGTCACTGCTGCAAGTGTCGTAACTTTTTTCCTCAACGCAGGAAACATTTTAAGAGATTCTGTGCAACATTCGTTATATAAATCCCTCAGCTGAGGAGAAATAAAACAATACTTACATAGAAAACTTAAGGTGTTTTGTGCAACTGTTATTTACAATTCCTACTGTTCCCCGGCTGACACAAACTCCATGGTGTTCTCCACAGTTCATGCAATTTAACATCATTAATGAAACTCTTCCTTTAGAATTTTCATATTAAAAGTCCTGCAGCCTTCCCTCCATACGTAGGCTTTTAGAGTGAAAAAACATCAGGAAGTGATGAGCCGTGCTGCTGGTGGCGTACTATCCATCAGGAATACAGAAGAGAAGAACCAGCTGGAAATAATGATAGTATGAAGACATTATTTCGGTTGGATAATTTAGTGCTGTAGAAAATGTACATTAGACTGAATCCACCATGGGAGCTGTTGGCTGCAGGTAATTCCCTCAATGTTTTTCTTTCACCCCACCTTCATTAGCGTCGGGCCTTTATTGGGCCGTTATTTGAATTCTGGCTTTAATGTGAGAATTTACGGCGGTCCTGCTGGTGCCTTCACACTGTCCCATTGATCTACAGGTTGTGGTAATGCGCCAAAACCTGCAGCCGTCTGCCAGCGAGACTGCCAGCAATTAAACCTGGATGTAAAGAATGCAGGTTTCAAACTTTTAACGTCGTTGGTTTGGTGCCAAATAAAGCCCCAACAGGAGCCGCTGCTGTGTGTCAAGCAGCAGATATGATTAATTTGTTTAAATATAAATTGTTTAATATTAATAATCTGCGATCGGACTGAAGATAAACATCAGCACAGTTGCATAAACACTTTATTATTACAGCTGAACTACTTCCTGTATCATGTCTTCCTGTTGCTCTCCATCATCCTTACTGCCTCTCATGTCTTTACACACACACACACACACACACACACACACACGCACACACACAGTGAGGCCGGACACCGGAGACATAATGTGTGTGTTTGTGTTTGTTAAACGGCCAAATAATTAGGTGAGCAGCTCTGCGATGCTGCTATGTGTTGACACAGCAACTCCAGTGTAATTAACTGGTGTTTATGAGAATTTTATATGACGTCGCCTATAGACAGAGAAGCAGGAGTCCTTTGTCTGAGTGCAGGAATTTCTCAATAAAACAACCACCAACTGCCCCACGAGGCCGTGATGTTCATTACACAACAGAAAACTAACGAGGAAAAGTTGTGCGGTGGATGGAAAATAGAAAGACGGCTTCATCGTGGTTTTGATTCTCACCTCCAGTGGGGTAAAACTAAAGGAGAAAAGCTGATGTTATGTAAATCAAAGAAAGGTCAGAAAGTTTGCAGCTGGACCACGAGGAAACAACTTGACTCAACTAAAAAGCTGAAGGATACTTGGACAACTTTACACAATTTGTTCAGTCATAATCTTTAATTTGTCGAGGTTTTCTGTGGGCTCATCTTTGTCTGTCACACCATTAATCATTAATCAACGTCAGCAGTCACCCACTTGACCTGCTCATGTGCAGAAGCTGGAAGTTTGAGAGTTCAGAGGTAAAAAAACAAAACAAAAAACAAACTTTGGCTTTTATAATTTTGAAATTTGCTGACATTTAGCAAATTAGCATATTAGCTAAATCGAGTCATTAGGTTTAAGGGGAATCCCGTCATGTTGCATGGAGAAAGGAAAAAGTCTGAAGAGGTCAAAACTCCAGCAGCACTTGTACAAAGAACAACTTTTTTTTTCCCCTGTGTTTTGACTCTTCGCCCGTCACGGGTGAAGTGCGGGTGAAGTGCGGGTGAAGCGCGGGTGAAGCGCGGGTGACTCTGATGAAGGCCACGAGCTGAAACACGTCCATCCCACAATAAAGTTGTTTCTTCAGACTACAAGTGTTGCAGGAGTTTTGACCTCTTCCTGAACTGTGCTGTTGGATAAGTGGCGCCGGGTGGAGATTCAGGGGATTCACAAAAGTCGTCTGTTTATTCATCAGTCACGGCTTACACCGTCTCATGCTGGAGCCGTAATAATTAGTTGATTCGTTGACTGATTCGTCAGCAACTACTTTGGGATTTTTGCCTCAAAAGTGACTCAGTTGTCAGAGATCCTCCGTTTGCAGCTTTTCTTTGTCCTACGTTGAAGTAGATGGAATATTATAAAGTTTTAGTCAGTTCATCAGACAAGACGAGACGAACTAAGATCAATGTTCTGCTTTTTTTTTTCCAGCTTTTTCTAAAGTTTTATAGACCAAATAATAAATCAGTCATTCAAGAATACAAGTGGGAGATTAATCGGTAAATGAAAATGATCATTAGTTGCTGTAATACAGTATTGTAAATAATTGAAATCACAAAAAGTGCAATAAATGTTCAGTATTTTTACATTTTTTTGTGGAATGCAAAAACTGATATTGTGACTGCCAAATAATCGCAATACGATTCTTTTAATTTTCTATTTGCACATCGTTCAGCCCAAGTACAAATGCTGACACTGAACGTGTGATGATTTCAGATGTAAAAAAGTGAAGTCAAGACGACGAGATGATGCTTGATAAAACTCTCCGTCCTTACCTGTTGAGCGTTCAGGCCTGTTGAAGTCTGATGACATGAACCACCTCAGTCTCCTCTCCTACACAAAGACACACAGAAAGGTTCATTCGTTCATTTCTAGTTCGGTTAAATTTGGGCTTCATTACCATCAAATAAAGAAATCCTCTTAACAGGAGTTCTACAGTATCTTCACCATGTACAGAGAACTTTATTAACACTGACACACACACACACTCGGAGCCGACAAAGAGAGCAGCAGCTGATTGAACATCACTCCCCGCTGAAAATCCTCTGTAAATAATTTTCAGCTGAAATTTGAGATTTGTGAGAATCCTCCCGTGGGTTTTTTTTTTTTTTTGTGTGAGAGCTTCGTCGGCCCGAGCCGTCAATTAGAGCTAAAACATGCAAATTAACTAAATTGAAGCCATGAGGTACGAACTGCCATTTGAAAGAAGGTTAATTATGCGGAGAAACTGCTACAAAACTGAGGAGAGAGGACGAACGAGGAAGTCAACTTCAGAGGGGAACACTCCCACACACCGTCTCTGTTCAAAGAGACAGTGGGGGGAGAGTACTCGACAAAGTAGGACACACACACACACACACACACACATATAGATGCTAATTGCACTTAATGGAGGTAACACTCCGACTCTTTTTTCTATGACTCAGTCTAATCAGACTTTTAGTGGTCCATGTAATCTGGACCAAACTAATCAACCACCTACGCTACCACCAATCACCCATGACTCAGAACACTCCACTGCACAGTCTGTCGGGAGGATCAACCTCATATTCGCAGTGCTCGACGCTCCACAGTTACCACCGATTAAACTGATTTCGCGTCTCCGCGGCACGCCGTCCTGATCCAGGACCAGTTGTCATCGAGCTTCACACAATGAGGATCGCGCCTCGACTTCAAAGCGCAACAGCTAACGGTGAAGAGTTTGGCGAGATGAAGACCGGCTCTGGCACCGAGGTTCCCGCTTTTACTGCAGTGAATATGAAACACGTGAAGGTGGGAAATTGATTGATACTCCTGCCAAGGCTGCGTAGTACTCTAAAGCTGTTATGTTTATTGGAGAGAAATAGTTTCCCCACACACTGACTACATGCTCCCAAAAATACAATTTATTAAGGATAATTAAATCTTCATCAGGCTCATCTGGGTTAAATCAGGTGAAGTCTACAGAGGAACCGAATATCAAAAAAATCATCCATCAGTGCACTGGTACCTTTTTCATCAGAGATGATAGAAAATGTTTAAAATCAGGACCAGGTCAGTTTCATTATACACTTTATGGGATACGTGTCAGGTTTTATTGATTCAAGACATTAGTGGTCGCTGCTGAAAGTGCTGATTCTTGAAACTAAAACCCTGGAGTAAAACATTGTTTTGTTTAAGCTGTTTACAATTTTTCACTGATTGTGTTGTTCTTTTTGCAGTTTAGCATCAAGTATTGTTGTGCAAACGGATGTTTAAGGGCTTGTCTACAACTGTGGTCTTTATGGGTGCACACAGGTTTAGTTGTGAGTCTACATAGTGTCTATTATTTATTAAGTTTATCAGTTTACAACGATATAAAAAGAGAGAAAAGTAGCGAATCCTCACGTCTGATGAGCCGGAACCAGAGAATATCTAATGATCAATCCATTACCAAGACAGTTGCTGATTCACCTTCTGTAGAGTGACTTTTCGATCAATTGCTGCTCCAATCCAACACAACAGAGTCAATAATAAGTGAAAAGGGGAATTGATCCTTGGCAGATCCATTGTTTATCCTGGACATCCACCCCACTGGTTGTCAACCCCAACCGGACGTCCAGCTACATTTCCAGTGGAGAACATTTTATTCCTCTTTCAGTTCGAGGTGACAAAAGGGAAAAACAAAAAGAAGAGAGAGAAGGTTGGAAGGATTACACTATATTCGCTCTTTAATTAACTGGATATTATGCATTCATCCATCCATCTGCCAATCACTCCTGCATCTACCCAGTGGTAAATACAACCTTCTGTATCGCAGCACAGAATATCCGTGGGACTTAGTGAACTCCCCAGGATTCAGGAGCAGCGGCAGTTCGTGCCTCTGCGTCTCATTGAGTCTATATAGTCATTTGTAAAGTAACTACAAGTGTTTGTTTTTCTATAGCGCGGCTATTTAAACATTTTCATACATTTCCCTGAAGAGTCCAAGACAGCCATATGGGAGAGATTTGAGTTTTCTATTTAGAATTGAATGATAGAACCGTTCAGACACATGGAGATAATAACTGCGCCAGTAATTTCTTTCCTTTATTAAATAGTCTATAACAGAGGACAGGATGACAGGATGATTACATATTTGAGATATTTACTGTCTTTATTTTATGTAACGCACCATTAACTTTGTCTCTGCCGCTTTTCCAACACCCTTTTAGAGTTGCACCAAAGCTTTGTAACCCCAAAGAACAGCTTGGGATGTTTTTTTTTAGTTCAGATTTAATGATTTAATGATGTTTTTCCAACCTAAATAGACAATAACAACCGACAGCAACAAGAAAACTTACATAGAGGGACAGAGTGATGTGCTGAACGCTCCACAAATTTCAGGACTATTTAAGGAAAAATTACAGCATCCAAATGTGAAGATGTTTCTGACGAGCAAAACACACAAGCGACAAACAAAATGTCTTCAACAACACCACAAAGGCCTTGGATTTTAGAAAGACATCTTTATACTTCCTTATAGAGTCAGTAAACAACAGTCAAAATCTTTGTTCAAAAGTTCTCACCTAGTCAGAGAGATGTGTACTCAGTGTTTAATACACCCTACCCTTGACTGCAGGGTGTGGTCAGAGCTGCATCAAACAGACCACAGGTTCATTGAATTCAACTATTTTGAAGTTGACTTTTTGGAAAAGTGACAGCCCTAATAATTAGTTTAGCAGCCAGGATCGTGAAGCATGAATAATTTCCCTGTGCAGGAACAAGATGTAGCTATAGAAGCTGTTGTATGACGGCTTACAGAAATAACGCCCTAGTTAGATTCACCTAAATCTTCATTTAAAGATATATATATATATATATATGGGGTAATAAAAATACAGCAGATTCCAGGTAAACAGTCAGAGGAACCAAATCCTGCAAGGTTTGGATGGTGGGTCCAGGTGGGCGGGGCTTGGTGACTGCTTTGTTGTGACATCACAAAGTTACAGAAGTCCTGACGGCTGGTTTTAAGGCTCAGTTTCTGAATACAGGCTGTGTGCATTTCTCTGTGGACTGAGGCTTTGATACTTTCACAGCATTAATATAGAAGCTAGACCTGATCTATAATCACACTACACATGGACAGAGACATTTATACTATATGGGACCTTTAAATATGCATATGATGCATTGAAGTAACAGCTGTAGGCTACTAAATTTAGCACAGTTCACTGTTTTGGTTCAATCTCACTGCTCTCTTAGTTAGAGCAGGGTGATAACAGTGGATCATTTAGCAGCTAAAGACACAGATTTCCCTCAGGAAGTGGTTGAGACCAAAAACAGAGCCACAAGAGAGGAATGTGCAGGTAAGCAACTGTTTGCTAACAAGTGTACTCAGGGTGTGGCCAGTGCACTGTGACATCACTGTGCAAGGTGTGGTCGGAGTGAAAAACCTTCAACCCGGGGGGATGAGTGAAATAAACACTTTCCTCTTCCTCGGTGTCGAGTTGCTCTATGAGGATGCTCTGGAACCGATGGTATTCAGAAAAGCCCTGGTGGCTCAAAATCCAATAAAACAAGGAGTTAACTCCTGCATTCTTGGAATTCCCCACCCCTGTAATATTGACGCCTGTATCAAATGACTGCTGCCGAGAGACGGAGGGAGACGGGGAAGTATGAGAGTGTTAAGAGAAATGGGAGTGAAGTAAACATATACACCCTATAAGCTGCAGGAACACCAGAGAAGAAACATAATACACACCCTGGGAAAAAAAAAAAAAAAGGGGTGGAAGAAAGAGATATTTTTCAACGTGCAAACTGAAACCTGCATATACTGTAAACACACACACACACACACACACACACAAAAACACACACACACACACAAAAACACACACACACACACCTCTGCTGTATGACAGATGGAGAACGAGTGTTGAATGCTGTGATGTGATTTGCAGCTTGATGTGTTTTTGCTGCTGGAGTATTTCATGATGGTTTATTACACTTTGAGTCTTTTAAATCAACGAAAACACACTGTCTCACACACACACACACACACACACACACACATACATACACACACACGCACACACAGACTCATACAGAGGGAGGAGAGGAGCCTTGTAAATCAGTTTTGCTGGCTGGTTCTTATCTGAGAAATGCCAGCCATGAGAGCAGGGCGGTACAGTGAGCTGACGGCTGTGCAGCTGAGCTTTCTCTCCCTTTAATGACTCGCACGGAGCCGCTGCCTCATTGAACAGCGGGGAGGAGGGCGAGCAGCTGCCAGGTCGAGGTAAGTACAGCATCACAATGTGCAATTAATGATGAAACGTGGTGAAACCGCACTGTATACTTAACTAATGTTTGAACGTAGATCAAAAAGTTACCTGAGTCGCTGCCGAGCTGGGTGGACTCGTTAACTGCCGACCAATTTTTCCAAGAAAAAAAATAAAACCAGTGTCGGTGATGATGTTAAACAGTCTCCATTTTCACTGTAGAACTGAGCAATAACCACTTTTATAATTTATTCCAATGCAACATCTTGATCTCATCCCTCTCACTGATGCACGATAAGTTGCCTTCACATGCCGGGCCACAGTTTTCGCCTTCTCCACGCCACGCCGCCAACGGTCTGACCGTCAATCCCATTCTTATGATCGCGATATCTCAGGAACTCCTTCAGGGAATTTCTTAAAACTTGGCATTAACATTCACTAGGACTCAAGGATGAACTGATTAGAATTTGGTGCTCAACAGTCAAAGGTCGAGGTCACTGTGACCTCACATCTCTCCAATTCTCACGGATGCAATATATCAAGAACGCCTCTGGGACATTTCATTACATCTGGTACAAACTTTCATTTGGACTCAAGGATGAACTGGTTATAATT